CTTTTTGCGTTTCTTTACTACTCTAGAGCATTATATTTTTATTTCGCAGAGAAAATAAGAACTGTATATATATATATAAACAAAAATAAAAAATATTTGAATTTTTAATCTGCAAATACGATATTATTTTTAAAAATCGTGGCCTATAAAATTAAAATATTAAGCGCATATATATCAAAAGATTTTTTATTTGTATTTACTCTACTCTACATATTACAAAGGAAATGGAAATCATGAAACAGGGAATACTAATTGCAAAATATTTATAACACGTTTCTATATTTTTTGTATTATTTTTAATATTTAGATGAGAATAAAAAGTATTGCCGAAGAAAAAGATCAAGTAAAAGATTAAGCAAAATAAAGCGAAATATAAATCGTACAAGATAATAATGTATCTAAGTCAATTAAACAGCTCGTAATTGTCAAAAATATGACGTCGATATTGATATAAATTTCTCTCTAGAATTTTAAACAACAGCAAAATATAATAAATTTTTCGGTAACATTCCGCGTTGTCATAACGCAAAATAAATCGCCTATGCAGATTGAAATCGCAGTGGAAACGGTTTACCGAACAAACGGATTATAGCGTGTCAGAGTAGGAGTCACCACATAGCAAATACAGATTACTAGAGATAAATATCCCGGTTAGAAAATTGTGGAATTGACGGCAAAGTTATAAAATTCCGCGCCGCTACACTTCTCATTATGCATCACGTGCTATGTTATTTTGCTATCACGATTCCATAAATCCGCAATTCTTATGTTCTCTCTTTCTCTCTCCTTCTCCCAATATATTTGCAAGAAGCATTCTGTGCAAGAAACACGTTCACAATGAAAGAATGTTGAGCCATAAATAGCTCATAGCGCCACACTATGTGCGCATTATTGAATAATATACACCTGCAAATCACTTGAGATTAGCCTTTATATAACACTCAAAAAAATGTCTTGCTGATATAGGTAGATTTCTAGGTGTCACAACAAAAATTTATCGCTATTTTTTGTATCTGTTAGAATATTGTCTGTTACATATAGAATTTATAGCAGCAATATTCTAATAATATCTTCTAGAAAATTTAGGTTCCATTGCCAAATGTTAATCACTGCATTGGGTAAATATGAGTTTCGATACTACAGCTAGAACGATCTTTGTGAGAAATATAACTGCCAATTATAACTGCAGCATCGAAAAATTGAGAGAAATTGTTTAAAAGAGCTAGATAGATTGGGCGCATTATACAAATATGTTATATGTGAGGATTATATATTCATTTGTTTCTTGTCGCTAATTTTTTCTGTGTACCACAGTCAAACTTTATAACAAGTATGATTGGCCTTAACATGGATAGGCGCCACAGAAAAACATTCTTTCTAAATTTCACAAACAGTTCAGATATAAATTCTGTCTCTGTCACTTAGATTGATTAAATGCGAAACATATGCGATATCACAGTATTTGCTAATCATTTATGTACCTCAGTTAATTTTGCGCACCCAGAAAATTTTTGCTGTGGTTGCAATACCACTTTTTTGAGTGAATCATTATACCGGATTCTATGACGTGTAATATTTTTCTCAATGGCGCGATCTATACGCTTTCTTTACCTAATGTTTCCTTACCTAATGTTTCAAATACTGTTCCAGATACCTTTATTAAATATAATCCAGCAAAGATTACTAACAATTTTAGTAATTTTTTTAAATTGGAGTTGCGTTCAGATCCGCAGTATTTTACAAAGCTTTTTAAAGTCTCTCTCTCATTTAATCCTATATTCTCTATAATAAAATTTTGTCAAAATTTTCAATGATTTAGAAATTTTATAATAAAAATATTGGTATATATATATATATACATATATTCTTATATTAATAATAATATTCAATTATATTAAGAACTCGAGTAACTAATGAAGCGATATAAACGTATTGTTCATAGGAGATTGATGGAAAAGGGTTCGTCCATCCCATGGCAGGAAACGCTCCGGGAAGCCACTGGTGAGTTCAGATTAGACGGATCCGCTCTTAGGGAATACTTCCGGCCGTTGGAGGACTGGTTGAGGACCGAGAATTTGAGAACGGGTGAAGTGGTCGGCTGGTCATACGGTAAGAAACACATTACTTATTTAAATGTACCTCAGTTAATTTTGCGCACCCAGAAAATTTTTGCTGTGGTTGCAATACCACTTTTTTGAGTGAATCATTATACCGGATTCTATGACGTGTAATATTTTTCTCAATGGCGCGATCTATACGCTTTCTTTACCTAATGTTTCCTTACCTAATGTTTCAAATACTGTTCCAGATACCTTTATTAAATATAATCCAGCAAAGATTACTAACAATTTTAGTAATTTTTTTAAATTGGAGTTGCGTTCAGATCCGCAGTATTTTACAAAGCTTTTTAAAGTCTCTCTCTCATTTAATCCTATATTCTCTATAATAAAATTTTGTCAAAATTTTCAATGATTTAGAAATTTTATAATAAAAATATTGGTATATATATATATATACATATATTCTTATATTAATAATAATATTCAATTATATTAAGAACTCGAGTAACTAATGAAGCGATATAAACGTATTGTTCATAGGAGATTGATGGAAAAGGGTTCGTCCATCCCATGGCAGGAAACGCTCCGGGAAGCCACTGGTGAGTTCAGATTAGACGGATCCGCTCTTAGGGAATACTTCCGGCCGTTGGAGGACTGGTTGAGGACCGAGAATTTGAGAACGGGTGAAGTGGTCGGCTGGTCATACGGTAAGAAACACATTACTTATTTAATTTAATTAAATTTATACGTGATAATTCGACCACTGCAATACAATTTGTATTGTGATTTACAGCGATATTTTACGCGCGTTTTCAGTTATAATTAGCAATTATTTATATTTATAACCGGACTTCGCGGGCGCAGAAATCGATTGACGTGTCGTTGTAGAACCGTCGTAGTGCGAACCCGGTGCCTTTCGATGTAACTTGCTACAAATTATGCAATTTCCTACCGTAACAGATTGAAGGTTGCAGTTCCCACGTACTACTTAGCGGTAAGCGCTACAAATGTTCATTGTATGACGACATTCGACTGTGAATTACGATATCTGATGTACGGCGAAATTATTGAGATTAACGTCTTGCACCTAGCAGAGCATACATCTTGCCAAATTTTTAACGCCGGTCACCGACAAACGTTATATAAAAACTGTTACATAGGAAAGAGAGAGAGAGAACTCGGATATGTACATACATATACGAGCACATCGCGCTGCGCGCGCTTATCCCATAAATTATGTCGATGCATTTCGAAAGCACATAGCGGAGCACTTCGAGCGGAATAAATTATGAATTCTCGAAAATAAAGTAAAACGATGTAACACATATATGTGTGTGTGTATTACGTGTTAAACGTTATAAATTAAAGAATGTCTCCAGGAAACGAAAGCGAAACGGGCAAGAATTTCGGTAAAATCAAAGCGTGACGATAATGAAAATCATCCATATTGTCCATTATCTCATCATCCATCGCGAAGCAAGAAATTTAACTCGTTCCAAAAAAGAAAAAAAAAATACGTAACTGTAGCGTTGATGCAAGGTGAATGCGAGCAATGCGAATTATTCGACCAGAAGGCTTTCTAGTTTATCGTAGAGACGGTTTTTTTTTCGTTACATATAACGGTAGGAAACGTTCGCGCTATTTCCGCGATGGAACGTAAAAACGGCGCGATTCGACCTCGGGGGACCCGATTGTGAAGTTCCTGAGCCCGTGGGACTAGCAATATTGCGAAAGCGAAACGAGGAGAGGCAGCTGGAGCAGAAGAGAGCTAGGAAAGAATATAAACATAGCGGCGGGGGTTAAAGACGCGAGGAGAAGAAAGGGGAGGGCTAAACGAGAGAGTCGTGAGACATTCACGTTGGACGACCGACTGGCACTCTGGTTTCGATCGAGTATAAGTTGCGCCGATCGTAATAGTTCCCCGATGTAGCATCCGTCTGTTCTCGCGAAGGGAAGCCGTGATTCGCACATGCACATGCACGCCGATATTATAGACATAGACGCGGTCTCTCTTTCC